AGATGAATGTCCATTTTGTATCTGTGTATTCAAAATGGTTAGGATAGATATATAGTTACATTCTCTTAATGAATAGAGGGATTTGTTCTAATAGTGCTTGTAAATAGGATATCATGTCTGCATCTTGTACAACAAATAACCACTAGGAAGACAGTATGCAATGTGTTAATTATTAGAACTGTCGTATCAATTTGATTTGAAACTGTCTCATTGCTATTTCTCAATAAAATTATGGAAAAAAAGTAAAAAATCAATTTCAACTTTTCATTTAGTTGTACTTTGATAAATAAATAGAACAAAGTATAGCATCAACCTTTAGATCCAGTCAAGAGGCTCTTGCTAAAGTCTAGGAATTTGAACATTCTAATGCAAATAGGGTTAAACTGGTGTTTTAGGCATACGCATTTAAAAAGGCAAATTTAATAAAACTGAATAGGTTGAAGAGTGTGGGGCTAAAGGTCACAGGGATATAAAGCATGGAAAACATATTTTTCCTTGACTAAATGGGTTAGAAAATGGCATCATATGCTGAGACAGAAAGCATAGACACAGGAGCAAGTTGGAGAAGAAACATATAGTTGGACATAGGGAATAATGAATCAGCTTTGGACAAGAAAATGTTGAAGAATGTTTGGAACATTCAAATGGGATTGTCGAGTAGACATTTGAACATGTGGTTATGGAACTCAGGAAAGATCAGAGAAAGACATGGCCAAATATCAGAAATTATTATTATTCTCATGGCCTGTTAACAGTTTTTATTATTTCAACTCACAGGGTCCTTTCTATACTACAGCCCTCCATCTTCAATGACAAAAACAAAAAGGAACGTTATTGTACTCTGTTTTGGGAAAGGTGCCATGGCAGTATAATTGAGTTGTCCCTTGAGACCAACCCATTTCTTGATGCTTGGTTTAGCAAGTGTGTTAGTTGATACATTATGTCAACTTGGCTGAACCAGCTCCAGCAGTTCTCAGCATGGGAGTCTAGCCCTGCAGATGGGCAGGGCCCAGGAATTGAGAAAGGCTTCATACCGCCCTGCCCCAATTTGCATGGAGAAGTCCACCTTCGGAGGAGCTTTGTCTTAGGAGGAGCTTGATCTTTGCAGCCATGCCACTTTGGAAGAACTAGAATCTTCGCATTGGGGTGCCAGTCTTCGCAGTCAGCCTAGAAGGAAGAGAGAGGCTTGATGGACACCCCAGCTGCTGCTCATCCTCTGCTCTTCATTGTCTTCTGCCTCATGAACTGCTGCTGATCACCTTGGAGCCAGTGGAATATGGACTGAACCCTCCAGTAACTGTGAGCTCCATAAACCTTTCCTTCCTTCATTTGGAATGTCAGGTATTTGTCCCAGCAATGAGTAAAAAGTAACTAAGACAGCAAGTGATTGTGAAAGTTAGGCAATAGTCAGTGTGCTAGGATTGCTCTTCATCTACCATAGCTAGCAGTAAAGTGAAAAGGCCAAATGCCTGTTGTCTATATAAGCTGGATTTAGATTCATAGGATCTACCACTTGGTTGCTTGATAGTATCAGGTAATTTTCATAACCTGAGCTCCAGCCTCCCTAGTCATACACTGAAGGTAATAGTAACATCCACTTAATAGGATTTTATGAGGAACAAATATGTTCTTGTGAAGAAGCTGGAATAATCTGGACATATAACACAAGCTCAGTAAATGTTAATTACTATTATTATCACCCTTGGTCTCTGTATCAGAAGGTCCTCAAACTCGTGAGATATTTTGTGCTATTCATAATATTGTATATGTAGGACAAGGAAGCAAGAAAATTATGCTACTTTCACACTTTGATTAACATTCTTCTTATCTCCTCCCATACTCACCTTCCACCTTATGAGCTTTCAAGAGGCCAGAATTCCAGGGCTTCATTTCATTAAACTTACGTTGGTAGAGAAGGAAGATGAAACCAGGAAGAGAACTGAGATTTCTCAATTTGCTTCACACACGCCTCCAAATTAAGTTGGAGTTGTGTTTGTATTGTTGGATCAGTTTTCTCTGAAGAACCAGTAAAGATTCCTCATGCTGTACAGTTGCTAACAGCCTGTGCTCCCAAAAGCTAAGGACTTTGTGAAGAGGGAATTTCTTTCTAAATCCAATTAGATTAAATAAATTTCATCCAAAGTTTCTTAAGTTAAATTGTAAAAAAATAGATAAGTCAGAATAAATTAAATCAATTCTCATTGGTCAAAATATCCTCATAAGAATACCAATTTAAATTAAGAAGAATCAAACTGGTCATGAAGTAAAATTAAATCTATTTTCTCTTCCAGTTCAAAATGGGTTCTAATTACATCAAGGAAATTAAGACATTTCAAGTTGTGTCAACTGATTTTCAGCTGGATTACATAAACACAAGCCAGACAAACTGACTGGATTCAAAGCAATTTAATTGCAATCAAACTTGATCAAACTAAGTTAATACTGATCCTTAATTCTTCACTTGTCTTCCACCTTTGCACTCTACTACCAGTGAGCCCTATCAACTCTATATTTAATTGCTCTGGAATCAGACTGTTTCTCTATTACAACTCTAATACAAACAGTCATCATTCACTGTTTCATTTGCTACCCTTTTGGTCTGTTAAAGTCTACTTTTGCATATATTCACTGTATTCTCTAAACATTAATCAGCATGCTCCTTCTAAAAATTTAAGTTACATGAATATACTGTTCAAGTACTTTTCTAAAGTACTCACCTGCAATTCTAGGTTTCCACCTAGAAAACACTGTAGAACTGACTCGCACGTGTTGCTTTGACCCCATCCTCTACCACTCACTCCCACTCACTGTTTCAGCCACAGCGGACTCCATGCTGGTCTTTGCACACACCGTGAAGGCAACCTCCCAGGCCCTACCTTACTCTGCCCTCTCCCTGGAACATCCTTGCCCAAGCTACCAGCATAATGTTCGCCCTCGCTCTCAAGTCCGCACACAAATGCTACTGCAGCAGATGCTTTGTCTAAACAACTTGGTGATGGCACCTCACCCCTCCCTCTCACCTTCATACTCTATCCTTTTAGTCTAATTTTTCTTCAAAATACTTACCTCCACTGGAGTTTTAAATATCTCTGCACTAATTATCTAACTCTACTAAAATAAAAGTTGGAGAAGACCAAGAACTCCTTCTCATATTTTATTCATTGCATATCTGCAGTGAACACGGAAGGCACATTACCAATATTTTACTGAATGAATGATTTGATTATAATCACCTTTTCATCAAATAATTATCTTTTGTAACCATTTATTCAAATATTTAAATAGATGATTGTGAGCTGAGCATTTCAAGGAAAAATGCCCAGACTTTTCAATCTATATGGTAACAGTGTTTCTTCTTTGCCCATTTATCAAAGAATCGCCACCACTCATAAAAAAAGCATAGCAGAAGCTGAGCTACGGCAATCACATTTCTACTAGGATTGCCCAGGAGGAGAAAGACTCTATACAGGACAAATCTATACTTTTTTATATCTCTTTTTTTCATTTTAATCAAAGTGTTAACTAAAAACCTAAAAGCTTGCAACTTATTTCCTCAATTGTTAAAGTGAAATGCTGACTTATTTTCTTTTGTTCATGTATTTACTGCAGGGTCTCACTACACAGATCGGACTTGTAGTGATCCTCTTGTTTTCAACCTCCCAAGTGCTGGGATTATAGGCCCGTACCACCATGCCCAGTCTTAATAGCCATCTCAGCGTGCCCCGGGGGTGAGGCCAGCAATGCACACTGGGGGTCAAACCCCAGTCCTTGTGTCTGACTAAGCAGGTGCTTTACTCTGCTGAGCTATCTTGCCAGCCCTGAAATACTGACTTCTGAAATGTATTGGTTTAGTGAAATATAGAGCAGATGACAGAAAAGAAAAGGCCAACAATGCAAAGTACACTAATACTGCTTTATTTCATGAAGTCGGAATTGTTGCAAACATCAATTTTAGGAACATTTTATGAAAGTCAAAAAGAAACACAAATATAGCATATAGTTACTAAACACAAATACACGTATATAGTTATCATCAGAGAATCTGAAGTAATTCAGAACACTCTTTAGATAATGGAGATATTGAGAACCCACATATCCTAAAATAAAAATATACAGGAAAGTAGAAGAATCTGCACCTGCTTTTCACAATTTAAATGACACAAGGCAATGATGAAGTAGAAAAAGGGGTGAATAATTTTCAATCATTCCATTTCCAAAGCAGAGCTTTAACTCTATAGCCACGACGCTGAATTCCATTCACTTATTGGTCAAATGAGACTTTCCTAAAAACCTAGGATCAGGATCAGAGAATCATAATTATTGATTCTCAGAAGAAATGGAGATATTTCCATTGAGAGGCCTCTGTGTCCTAGACTCTGCACCTATTGTCAACCAATTAAAAGTCTACATTAGTAGGTAAGTTCAGAAATGGGAATGTCTTACACCCCCGCACTTCATTCTGTTGTCCCCTACAAGGCAGACAGCAAGGTAGAAATGGGCCCCTCAACCTAAAAGAGGGGCTCAGACACTCTCATCTCTATATATGTAATATCTACTCACAGCTACTGATACACGTGATTTGGGGAAGTGAATTAGGATTACTGTTCATTGATTGAAAAACCCATGTTTCCAAGTGTTTTTTTTTTTAAATCTTCATCTCTAATTTAGATAAGATAGATAACAAGTTAATTTTAACTTTTGAAAATAAACATTCACCTGACATAAAATATGTCTTTAAATAGTTTTTCTCTCTCTCTCTCAAAAAAAAAAAAAAAAGAAAAAGAAAAAGAAAAAAAGCTTTGATGTCTCCTGATGCCCTTAAAATTTGTACTACAAATGCCATGGTTGTATTTTTCAAAGAGTGGCTCAAGGACTACTGATATCCTTTTGCTGGCAAACATCAGATGGATTAATCAATCAATACAAAAGTTTTAAAGAAGAAACAGTGCTTCTCAGATTGCATGATGCATCAAAATCACCTGGAGGACTTGCTAAAACTGAACACAGGGTCACACTCGCAGAATTCCTGATTCAGTTGGTCTGAAGTGAGACCTGCATGTCCACATTTCTTAGAAGTTCCCAGGTGATGTTGATACTGCCAGGACAAAACCATTGCTGGAGAATTGTTGCGTTAAATTATCAATGTATACCTTCTTTAAGGAGCAGTGTGAGTTAGAACCCAAGACCCAGTGGTATTTACTAACCCTTCTTCATGGTTATTTCCAGAGATAATCCTTGAGAAACTCATTCTTTTCTATACTTCCTTCTTTATATCTTAATCAGAGCCCAGCCAACCGGGGTTCTTATCACCATTGCTTAGTCATTTGGTTTTGCAATGCCTAGGTAGGGACAATTCCTATTTCTCATCAGAAGGGTTATAATCTACTCTGCTTCTCCAGATGCCCTGTCCTGCACACAGTCCTGCCTCAAGGGGGCAAAAGCCACAGCTACATGTCTCTGCCCAGGAGGTCTATCTCATCCAGGAGGAAGTCCATGTCCTCGAGGCTCACTTGAGGGCTGATTACCACCTGACGGAAGAAGTTCACCCTTCCCCGGTGGGGCTGGTAGCCCAGCATGAGGCTTCCCTTCTTCAGCATCCTCTCCTTGATGGCTGGGGCCACCTGCAAAGGGAGCAGAGAGCGTGGTGAAATGCTGCAACATCAAAGCCCATAGACTACAGCAGGACTGGCAGTCATCCTGGAGATAGTCCCTTGTCTGCATAAGTGCAGTACAGCCCATTCTTACATGCATAAGGCTGACATCATCAGAACCATTTATTGCGAATTTACAGCATATAGATAATGATTCAACTGCTTTAAATATGGTGCTTATTAGTATAGATTTATACTAATAGACTCATTTCCAGAAGAAGGCACTAAAGCACATGGAGGCCCAGTAAATATCCCTTGCTCCCAGGTAGGGTCACTCTAAACTCAGGTCCCGAAATCTAAATGCAAGCTCAAAAAACCAAATTGTACTTCCATGGGGATCATAATCTCAAAAGTGGCAAATGTTACATTCATAAATTGATCTTAAGTAGAAAAATAACTCAGGGCACCTTAACCAAAGGAAAAAAAAACTGTTAAAAAACTTTTATTTTTATTAGTACATGTTTGCAATTCATAATGCTTATATTAATCATGGGGAGACAGTACACAAACTAACACATCTTAATCTTTTAACTTAATTATTTAGCTGGGGAAAAGCATCATAAAGTTGTGTTACAAGGATAAACCAATAAGGATATTAGGTACACTTATTAGCTTATTAATAAGAACCTGTATTTTTCTTTCAATTATTGTGCTTTCAAAATATATGACTGAATCAGAGACCCTAGAAGAAATGAAAGTTTGATATTTTTACAGAGAGGTGTAAAGGTGGTAATTGAATTAGGAAGCCTACATTTTATGAGGAAAGATTTGTAGCTGATATGAGAAATACTGGGCCTGATAATCTAAATGGCAAAAATTTTCTTAAAGTTTAATGTGTAAAGATATTATTCCATTTTAAAGCCACATGGAAAAGCAATCCATATTCAAATCTATAATAAGACCACCCACAAGCTAGGCTGTAAACTTCTGAAACAGTACAGTTAACTTTTCAAATACCAAGTCTTTCTGGCTTGAAAATATAGGCGAAATTTTCCATCTCCATTTTATTTCAACTCTCTGCAAACCTTTGGGTGTTTCCAACATGCGTGAGTGGGAAGGGAGCATCATGCCTGGCCTGCTGTGCTCCTAAAGGGGAGACCTGGCTCATTCAGGATGGGGAATGCAAAGCCTGCAGCAGAATGTGCTTCTGAACTCCTTAGTTGAAGGGCAACAATGTCATTGCCTATGAACTTCTTACAGTGTGACATCCTATGTGTTCTGGTCTTTAAATATACCTGTTTCCTTAGATACTGCCACCACCATCATCCCCACTTAGGGCAGTATACTTCATCTGACATTCAGTAAAGTCCTAATTGGTTCTGAAGATGATGGAAAAATCACCAATTTTAGTTCTCTGGAGAGATGATGTGTTGATTGTCTGCCACACAGCACAATCAAGAGATGCCCGAGGGTAATGTGATTGATTGATTTAGTATTTTAGGACAGAGTCTATAGAGTCTCACTACGTGGATCAGACTTATAGTGATTCTCCTGTGTTCAGCCTCCTGAAAGCTGGGATTACAAGCATTTGCCACCACAATTTCCATATCAGCCAACATGGCACACCTGGAACCGAACCTGGCCGCTATGTCTGCCTAAGCAGGCACTTTAATCCACTGAGCTATTTGGCCAGCCCTCTCTAAGGATAATTTTAACAATCATATCTTGCCACGTGCTACTTTTAGTATCCAAATTTTGCATATAGACTACACTGTGGCTAGAACAATAACAACAAAACATTTATTCAGCAGTCACCATGCTGTGTAGGAAAAGACTTCTGATGTTTTCAAATAGTTACTTTGGGTGCATAAATCCTTGTCCATGTGTAAGGCATAAAGCTGTGATTCTATGAGAAAAACACACAGCACAAGAATTGTTAAGCTAGGTTTCACCACCTTCCCAAGATTATAATGACATGACTAAATATCTCTCTGACTCAAAAGAAATAATTTTAAAAAGGTGCTGACAGTACCATCGATGCTGTCTGAATATATCCCTAAACCACAGGGATTAGTGCCTGGAAGGAGTTAGGCAAAAAGACCAGGATCTACTTTATATTTCATGGGAGAAATCAATGACAGTCTTCAAGGGTAATACTCTTCAAATCTTTATTGCAAATTATTACTGATATAATGGCAGTGAAAATACTGCCATTATTGTTAACAAATATTTTATCAATCCTTTATAATTTGAAATATTCTTTCATATGCCCTATTTCCACAAACCCAAATTAAAACATTTAAAATAAAACTACGCATTTGCAATTCAGGTACTAAGAATGTTTTTATTAGAAGCTAGCTTAGCACTTTTGTGCTTTAACAAATCAACCACTTTCTGTTTATAAAGCCGTAGGTATAATCCAATGCTGTGTAATTTAGATTTTTTTCTTCTGCCGATCACAGGACAGAAGCATTCCTAATCTGACAGGATGGAATATTTATGGGGGAAAGAAAATATGCACAAACTGAATGTTAGTATCCAAATATTGCCCCTAAATGGAGCATGCATCGTGAAAAGCAATTTGGCAGGAGCGAGATTGCTTTCCTGTTCTCAATTATTTTACTGCTGGTTTTCCTTCAAATTGTAAATCAAATTCTTTTCTTGTGCCTCAGTGCACTGGTTTCTGCATCTTAAGTGGTGGAAGATCCTGACATTTCTATTTGCTTGCACAGCGATTTAATCTACACATTTCTGTAGAATTTCTGTTTCTCCCCCTTAAATTATATTCCTGCAATGATTCAGTCATTTAAACAGAATTTTGTTGTTGTACTGCTGCAGCACATAACAGCACTGGATATTTAAAAGTTTCTTAAACTAGAAGAAAACTAAAATGACTCTCTCTAGTCAAATACAGCAATTGGATTAGCCACTGTCAAGCCAGCACCCTAGCTGTTGATGAGACCAAAAAGGTAACGTTCATAAAATGGCATTTTTTTTTTGAAGAATGTGTTCACTACATAGTGTCAACAAGAACATTATTTTTAATATGCAAAATACTTTTCAAATACTTATAAAATAGAATGAAAACTAACTACTAAAAGAGAAAGTTTAAAGATAGAAACATAGAAACTTATGTTTTTAGTTTTATACTCAACATTAAAATCAGTCTGGCAAATTGCTGTAAAAGGTTTTCAACAGTGACTCTGGGTTTCCATCCTTTTCCCTTCATCATGAATAGGTCGTGGATATGCCTGAGGCTGTGCCCGTACTCTGAGGATGCTGCTTCCCTTTCATGTGATTTCATCCATGAGTCTTGATGTTATTGCACACACATATTTCTGCTCACTAGCACAGTTTCTATACTATTTGGAACAGTGTTTTTGTATTCCACCACACCACTATGCCACAAGTGATCAAATATTTCCCAGTTGTCCCATCTTGGATCTGCTTCACTTATAATGGCATTTTATCGAAATCCTACACCCACTCATGAAACCTCATGTAAGGTCTTTAAAACCTACTCCGAGGGTCAAGAATATAGCTCAGTGGTACAAGCTCCTGTCCGGCAAATGAAAGATCCTGAGTTGGAGTCTCAGTACAAACAAACAAACAAACAAACAAACACAATCAAAGATATTGAAAGCCTACTACAGAGACTATAAGAGTAAATGATTCAGCAGTCCCAGCCCAGGTGCAGAGTGGGCCGGACCCTCTCCCAGCCCCTTGGGCTGCCCCCCACCACTCCGCAGTGCCTCCCCCACCCCGCACGCCGAGTAGGATTTTCTGCCGAGTTCTGGGAGCCCCCAGACCCAGTCCTAGCCCAGGTCCCATGAGTGTGTGCAGAGAGCTTCCTCTTCCTCCTACTTCACCTTGCCCCCTCCAGGCACAGCTCAGGCCTGTCATA